GTCCCCGCCTTCCTCCGGTGTGCCTGGGCGGGCAGAGACATTGTGTTACTCCTGTGGTGGGACCGAAGCTTGTAAGCATGGGGAGGTCAACAGTATTACACAGTGTCAGGGATGAGTTATGTCTGGTTTTATTTCTGAAAGCTAGATTTTTGAACAAAATGAACCAAGCCAGCTTGTTAGAGCAGCCGTTGGTATTTTCCTTCTAATGCTCATTTGAACAGACAGTTATTTAAAGATGAACATAAAAACAATGCTGTTTTTCTGCTATTTCGCTATCTGTTGTCCCCGTGTCTTTCAGTCCACGTCAGGAATTTCTTGGTCCCTGATGTGGTTGGAGTTGGATGTTTGTCTCCTCCTCGGGGGCTGGGGCAGGCTCGGTGCTGCGCGGTGGGCTGCTTGCGTCAGGCTGCGAAAGGCTCCGACAGCGGCTGCGCGGCAGCAGAGCCGTGGCTTTTGACCTGGGCCATCCCTGGAGGAACGCAAAGTGTTCCCTAGGGAAAATTCTTTCTCATGGTTGTCGGTCGTTGCTGTGATGCTGGCTTGAGAGAAGGCAGGGAACAAAGACTGTGAATGAGCTGGGTTTTTATTGGTAGCCTGGTTCTTCCCCAGGTTCTGGACTTTCCTGGTTTGTTGGGAGAAATGATACTGTTCTTAATGAGATTGTGCGAGTTGTGGCTTCTGCGGCCCTGGCTGCGTTACTAGTCCTGACTGCAGCTGAACAGAACCTGGAGCACAAGTACAGATTCCAGAAATGTCCGTGCTTTAATGAAGGTGATGAGGCTTTGCTTCTTTGGGCTGTAGAAACGTTGGTGATAAGGGACCTCTGGAGGTCTCTAGTCCACCCCTGTTTGGAACAGGACTGTGCCCGGCCCTAGGTTGGGTCAGCTGTGGCTTTATCAAAGTAAGCCTTGAAAACCTCAAGGGAAGTACATCCCGCACCTCTCTGGGTGTCTTTTCCAGTGCTGCACCACCTTCCTAGTGAAGAGTTTTTATCCTCGTGTCCATTTTGAACCTCCTAAGCTGCAGCTCCTGGCTGTTTCCTGTTGTTACACCATCTGCTGCTTTAGATGAGGAAACTGCTGCATCAAAGAGGAGAAATGGATGTTTTTGTATTGTGTGCAGCAGCATCTTTCTCTCTGAACTGCTGGCAGCGGGCACTGGACTGGCAGCTTCTGGCTGTTGCCTGAGCTCTGCAGAAAGGCTCAGGAGGTGAGCATGGGGTGCTGATTGCTTTTGTGATTCTGATGTTCCCATGGGCTGCTTTCTCCCATTCAGGCTTGCATCAGATTGCGCAGAACAAGGTGGCAGTGCTGCTGCTGGCTGGAGGACAAGGAACGCGCCTGGGAGTGAGCTATCCCAAGGGCATGTACAACGTGGGGCTGCCCAGTGGCAAGACCTTGTATCAGATCCAAGCAGAAAGAATCTGCAAAGTGGAGCAGCTCGCTGGCCAGAGACACCGCTGCAAGTGTGCCGTCCCCTGGTAGGTGACCTGGAGCCACAAACCCACTGTGCAGGGGGCTTTGCGCCGCAGTCTTGCCTGCGTGTTCTTCTGGAAGCCCTGTGCTGGGTGCTGTCCAGAGACACATCAGGGCAGAGCCTTTTCTCAGCAGGATTTGCAGTGCCAGCATCTGGAGGAGGGTGCGCAGGGGTGGGCAGTGACAGTCCCGTGTCTGCAGACCTGAGGGACTGAGCACTGGCCTTGAATCGCTGACCACTGTCTGAACTGCTGTGCCGCGCTGGCTTGTCAAGCACGGTCCATGGCAGCACTACAACCAGCACTTTGCAGTGCCTGTTTCAGATCCTTCACAAGAGATTTCATCTGTGTGTGCTGTGCTTTCTCAGGTTCCTGCATGGAGGGAGGGATCCCTTAGAGCTCACCTTCCAAGATCCTCCGCCTCCCCTTGCCCACAATTTCTCCTGCAGCAATAAAGCTCTTCCCCTCGCAGTGGTGAATGCTTGTCATGCTCCGTTTCCAGGCCCCCCGCTGCTGTTGTTGGTTACAGTGGCTGCTGTCTCTCCTGGCTGCTCCTAGCTTTCAAAAGCCTCCAGGCTTCAAAAGAGACTAGCTCTGTGCAAGGTGCAAAATGTGAATTCCCTGCGGCATGTGGTGGGGGAAAGAGGAAGGCGCTGCGGCACGCTCCTGGGAGTGTTTTTGGCTAAGTGTTCTTTGTTAGAGTATAAAGAGAGAGTTTTATGAAATCCCTGTCTGGTCTGGGCCAGGGCTCAGCAGGGGTGAAAGAGCAGGAGTCTGAGGACTTCAGGGTAGCAGGTTGTTTTACAGACTGGAGTCTGAAGGTGCTTCGAGTCCCATGTTGTGTTTCTTTCTGAAGCCATGTGCACGTGACTGGAATTGCAAATGCACCATCCCTGGTGCTGCTGGAAGCCAGACAGGTTATTTGCAGGGTGCAACGTCTGCTGAGAATGGTTGGTTCCTCGCCGCGGGCTGAGGAGGTGGTTGCCTGCTACAGTAAGCCAGAGGCCAGGCTCTGCCGTGCTACAGAGGTGTAAATCGGGGAGGGTGCGCAGTCCAGGCACTGCTGGGCGAGGGATTGATTCCCCTGGCACGTTGGCAGAGGACCTCGCGTACCTGTGCCAGTAGTTGTTGAAGTGCTTGATGGGTAGATGTCGAAGGTGGCTCTTAGCCGCTGCTGAAGGAGGAAGATAGTGGAGGGAGAGACAGCAGCAATGTGGAGCTGGAAGGAGAGGAGGAAATAGAGAAACTTAAGGGAGGAACAAATCATGCAGCCAACATTTGAAAACGCTGCCGTTGGCGTTGGCACAGAAGAGGCGCGGGCAGACTGAGCGGCTGGTCAGTGCTGCTTAGACACTGAATGTCAGTGTGAGTCCAGGGTGAGCGAGGCTGTTGTACTGCCCGTTGCCTCGTTTGCCAGCCCATCAGGATATCCAGATGTGGGTCACGTTTAGGGGAAGGCTCTGCTGTCCTAGCTGGAGCTAAGCCTGTGGGTAGGATCGCGCACAGGACCCTGCGCAGCCTTCCCGTGGGATGAGTTCTGGAGGAGAGCTCTCCTGCTCGGCTGCGTACCGCAGGATACTGCAGTGTCTCTCATTTAGCACTCTTGGGTTTCCTCCCTTTTGTGTTCTGTTTGTAGTTTTGTCCTCTGCTTGTGCTTTTCTTGCGTGTGGCTCAGCACCCATTCCTGCCCAGGTACATCATGACAAGCGAGTTCACGCTGGGGCCGACGGAGGAGTTCTTTGTCGAACACAACTACTTCAACCTGGATAGATCCAACGTGGTCATGTTTGAACAGAGGATGCTGCCCGCTGTCACCTTTGATGGGAAGGCCATCTTGGAGGAGAAGGGGAAAATTGCTATGGCTCCAGGTACCCCACTGCTCACTCGTATGTGGCACAGGAATGTGATGTGTTGATAATTCCTGCT